ATGCAAGCCGGTCTGCATCTATTGTTAAAGGCGATACTTAAAGGCGGAACGGAGAAACGGTTGAATGTAATTTTTATTAAAAGCGTTTTTCTCTATCAGTCGTCCCATGAAGTCGATAGATACCAAAGCTGGGAGTGTTTGTGAGAAAAGAGACCGTCAGGGTAAGTCCAAATTCGTCACCATGTCATGGGCAGAATCCAATACCCAAGAGAGCGTTGCAAAAGTTCCTGGAGGCGCAATTTTTTCCCGGCTGGAATCATTCATTTGCATTTTCCATGCCTCTGTGGTGGCGTCATTTAAATACAAGCAAACAAATAAACAAACAAGTAAATGGCGTTCAGCACAAGAAGACCGTGAGCCATTACCTCTTCGTGAACCTCGACATCGGTGAGAAAAGTGATCGCCGACGAGCCAAACATCACCACCACTTTGTGGAGACCGCTGGTGCCGGATTACCGGTTCAAGTTGGGGAAGATCTGTCGTTCTTGATCGAACTCCAAGTGAATGATTTTGAAACAACCAGAAAACTTGTAGGCAGAGAGAAATAGGCAAATTGCCCGATTCACAGGAAATAATGGGCGTTGCGCCGGCCGCTGGCTCGCTGCCCTCAAATGTGTCGACGAGGCCGCTGCTGCTGCCGGCGGTGGACTCTATGACAACGAGTTTTATAAAGGGATTGGCCTAGGAAATTTGCGGAAATCGGGATGGATTTGACGTAATGAAGATTCTCGACTCTCCGTTATTTCCACGATATTGTAGGACCATCTTCAGTGTATCGGGGATCGATCTGATTCCGTAACTCCATCGTTCAATCATAATCAACCCATTACCACTTAACTGCAAGCCACGTTCTTTGTAGGGAAGTGAATTTGAAGTAAAACGCTTATGTCAATAATTGCTTTTTGTTCTTTTATTCCCCTACGTAAGAGCGAAAGTATCTTCTAGAAGACCACCAAAAGCCCAATCACATTAGACTTGCACTTTCAAAGCTTCGGCAGACCGCCCCGGTTCGGCAAAATGCCTTTCGTCAAAAAATCTCGAAAGAATTTTCTACCATGAGGGGTTAGAGCGAAATAGGAACGATGACGGCAACCCCCATGACTCCTTCCAACAACAAGCGGAGAGGGAGGGGAGGTGGGAGGCTCACTTTTCAGTCCCTGTCATCAAGTTTTGAATTTTCATTCATAACCTACTTATCGGGGCGGAGGTGGTGTAGTGGCAAGTGGCGCACTATATCACACGCACGGTCAGGGGTTCGAATCCCGGATCGATGCCTGCCTAGGCCAACCAAGCCTTCCATCCCCTCAGGGTCGGTGAATAGGTACCAGACTCGTCTGGGAGGATAAAAGCACTGACTTGTACATCGGCTGGCCACCGCAAGTCATTGTATAGGCCACATACGCACTCATTACGCCACTACGATTCTGAATGGAAGTCGAGTGCGGGGGCGCATCCCTCAGACGGGATTGATTAACGCCAAAAACTTTATCCTTTTATCCTTTTAACCTACTTATCGGCTCTAAACTTTGGACCTTACTTTATTCTTTCTAAGATCTGAGATTGCTCCGCATGAATTCATGAAGCTCGGTCACTGGAACTGTGGACCTCTGGATCATCACTCAGATCGTACTTAGGACGGTTTCCAGCCTATGCTTCTTCAACTGTCTCTCCCCTCAATTTCAATTTGAATATTTTCAAAGCTTAGCACCTCCTCCACTACTCCACAGAAGCGATTGCTTATATGTTATCAATATCTGGAAAGAAAAGTATCCTTTCCATGTACACTAACCTAGCAAATTTTCGCCAGAGGAGGTCCGTCCACTCATAGCCCGATCCCGCCTCCCAAATAACGTATAAGTGGGGGTGGGGGAGGAGAGAGCATCAAATAAAGGAAGTGGACATGCAGAAAATCGGGCGTATTATTCTTTCCCGAACACGAAATTCCTACGGCTGGAACGCCTACTAATCCCTGGATAGCCATAGGCCTTTTCTGCTTTCGTCTTCTGAGAAACGAGAGGCAGCCAGAAGGAAAATGGAAAAAGTCGTCTTAAAGATTGCCCTTGATCCGCTACATTTTTATGTTCCCGAAAGCACCTCGGTAGGATGACAAACTATCGCTTAGTGAATTGCCACCGGGATGCGAACAATAGGGGAATTGATCCCTTGAAAAGCGAATTCATAAATCCCTTGAATTCAACCAACTTCCCGACCACATCCTGCACCGACCATGCACCTGTGATTGGTACAGTGCAGGAGCATTACCGTTGATTGTGATCAGACTCTCTCCATCAGGCAGGCATCTCAGGAGACAGCCCTTCCGTCAGCAGTGGATCTCTTCTGCAGTGCCTATCGCAATAGTTCCAGGGAACTAGTAACAGTATAGGTTAGGGCCAACGACCTGATTGCACTTCAGCGCTTTCCACGGCCCAATACAGCTATTTCATACGAAATGGTGGAAATGTGGGTGGCTAGCTGTCAGTCTCCGTGAGCACAGATGATGGTTAAGGAACGGAATATCTTGGAGTACAATCTGAATGAACGGCTTCAACTTGAGGTTAAAGCCAAATTGGAATCATCAAATGGGAAACTACAATTTAGGTATTGGGAAGACATTTTTCCAATGACTTCTTCTCTAAGACAATGGACGTTCCCTCACTCCTCCTTTGTTATATAGCTATTCAATCAGGGCTTCCATCGAAGGGGTCGACCTCGACCGATCCAACTGGCACCACACCTCAAGTATTTGGTTAACCGGGTGCACCCATCATATCTGTCATTCCCAGAGCTCGAGACATTAAACGAATAGTTCAATGGGGTTCGGCCATATGTCAAGGGTTTTCAAGAACAGGAACACACGATTTCTTAGAATACGTCAAGATGATATGCTCCGCAGAATATTGAGGGAATGCCCAGTTCCCAAGAAGATTTGCAGTTTTTCGCTCTGGTTGATGGTTGCTGCGGTTACGCTGATATTCAGTTTTTACTTGACGCAGCCACATCAAATTTCGCCCACGATGTCGCCCTCTCTTGATGCTGTGTAGGGGAAATTTTGGGAGGAAATTTACTCTGCTACTACTACACAATTCTTGCTTCGAACCAAGTATTTCTTAGCCAAGGCTAGCCATTTAAAGCATGTACTAAACTAAGGGCGGGCGGTTTGGCTCATTTTCTCATCATGTATGAGCAATTCCAGCCAGACACTTGTGCGGCTCATAAACTTCTCACATTACGTCGATCCCGAAACGCCGACGTAATAGCTTGTCGTTCCAACGAAAAAAAATGCTGGCGAATTCGCATGGATCAAGTGACTTCCTAGGACTACTGTAGTTCTGAAAATTGTTACGATGCGGTAACACACAGAATCTCAAGCAAACTTCAACTATTTATTTATAATCAGTTGCAACATTTTCCCACCATATCCGTATCCCACATTTCCCGCTACCCTTCCCACCTCCCTGAACGAGTCAATCCTTCCAAAAAGTCACAAAAATTCGGAATTCCGGTTCCATAAAGTAATCAGGATTCTGAAAAATCTAAAGCTCTGCTACTATTTCACGATCGGCATAATAAAAGTAGCAGGTCGAGTAAAGAGAGCCTATCGTGCATACAACTCTGGGGGATGCTTCCAGACCTGATGAGATCCAGTACGAGTTTACTGACGACCCTGACTGGTTTCCCACATCAACCGAGGTTAATCAATATCTGATCGAGGAAAGTGGAAAATTACAACTCCCAGTCACCTTACAGATCTCATCGATGATGACTTTAATGACAGTGGTACGTAAGTAATATGATATGAAAATTGCTAAAAGTAAAAGTGCAACTAGAAATTGAGTCAACAGTCGAACCAGGCATGAACGCTAGTGACAGGTGGCTCACTGTCGCACACATATGGTCCGAGGAACGAATTCCGGATGGACATTTGCTAAGAGTAACGAAGCCTTCCACACCTCCAAGGTCGGTTAAACTGTGCAACACCCGTTTGGGAACACTGACGTAAACACGACACAAAAGGCCACTGCAGATCATTGTAAAGGCCACACATGCACTCGAATTGACACTACGAATCTGTGTAGGAGTCGAATGCGTGGGTGCATCCCAATAATAGGACTTGTTGAATCCGAAGAGTTTTCAGAATCACCAGACATGACCCAGCTCCCGCAGCCCTACAGCCATCCTTCGTGTATCAATGTAAGGATGCTGCCCGTTTTGAGTTCGTAAAGTCTGTGAAACATCCGCCTGGCTACACATATTCACATTAAAACACATGCGGCCCTCTTCCACACCAAAGAAAAGGTGCACATACAACTGAACTTTCTAATATTGTGCATAGAGGTCTTTGGTAGGTTCCGGTTACAGCAGCAGACAGCAGAAACAAAAAGAGAATGCAAAGGATAGAAAATTGAAACAGGATGTCAAGACCAGAAGAATGAAGCCCACAGGCTCATGCATACCGAAAGTCTACTCAATATGGAGCTCAAGTCCTACATTGCAGAAGCAATTAGGCTGAAGCAAGTGAGTCTTGAGGTTTCACGAAGAATCCACCTGGCCACTCCAAAAACTGACGAGGTGACAAAAGAGGCCGAAGAAAAGCCAGAATAAATATCTACTACATACTTTAATTAACATGTAATAAGGTTCGCATATATGATATTATCCATGGCCAGGCTTGAATGCCGAAAGTCCTAGGGTAGCTCAACGGAGAGGAATCTTCCTTCATGTAGAGAGAGGTGAAAGAATGGTATGTAATAAAGAGAAGAGGAGGTCCTCGCAGATGAGTGATCATGGTGAAAAAACGGCATTAACTCTAGGATCCTGCAAATCGTCTACGAATTTAATTTCAGGGCTCGGAAACGGCCATTTCCCTGAGCCATAAACTCAGCTGATCATTCTTACAAGTATTCAACCTTTTCATTCTGGGAAAAGGGCGATAACGAGATCAAAAATAAAAATTCTAAATCAGACCACCAACTTGTAGTCGTCTTGGAAAAACCCTAAAATTATTTCGACAATGAGAATGAGTGGTGGCAAATGAAACAGAACGAGGGAAATGAGCCGTAAAAGGCCAAAGAAGAAGTGTATTGGGGACTTACGGCAGTGTCTGCTTCTTCCGGTAGTGTACCAAACAAGGCCTGTTGCATCTGATTCACGAATTGTTGACCGTACTCTTCTAGAACGTCGTGGTCCACCTAGACTAGGTTATTAAAAATACACAGCCTTGTCTAAAAAGGGAAAGAACTATCTTGAACAAAACCTTCTCAAAGCCGCTGGAATCCACTGAACCTTCTGTAGAGGCCTGACCGGTGGATGTGCTTGAGGGTGGAGCTGGTGGTGCCTTCAATAGATTTCATGTATAATAGGTGTAGATGCCATAAATATGCTATAATAATTGGCTACGCTTCCATAGTGCTAAGACGGATGTTCTTGTAAGTTGCCCAACAATCGGGGTACAGGATCTCCAGACGCGAAAAAAATTTTCACGATGTTTTTCCAAATAAAGACGATTTTCAGGGGCGTTATTTGCATTTTTGTTGGTATATGGTTGATGGACGGTACTCCCAACAAAGCAGTTCTTCTGTCATTCATCGTAACGATTGCAAATTCACATACCCAAACCCGGAACTTGGAGGTAAGAATTCCGTGAGCAGGATGCTTCCGTGACTTGGATGCTTCCCTACTCAAGAGGAGGACAGGTAACACGCCTAATCAATTAGAACGTACTTTGGAATGGTTCAGATAGTCCAGAACTGTCAGGTATATGACTTCCCACATTCACCCTTACAACGCCAATGTTCGTAGCTGGGACACGATTTCACTCTGTGGTGACGGAAAGATGATCGCTGCTGTTCACCTGCCTCGATCGCGTTCGATGGTATTTGTGTTCTGCATCCACAGTCGTGCTTTTTGCAAGGATCGATATCCTCAACGGTGCTAGGATATATGTCGCTACAGTTTCCCGACAGATGCAGGAATTCTCTATAAGAGATCCCTGAGGAAAGAGGGCTAAAGTCCGTGAATTCTAGGAGACTGTCGAAATCCCTACCCCACTACCCTAAAAAACTCCCTCAAAAGAAAGCGACGTTTTGATACTTTCGAAGTTTCAAATGCTCAAATGTGCGATCAATGAGATCTGTGGTGCGTATTCCTCCACAATAATAGCCATTCGAACGCTTCGAATAAAATTTTATTGCGTCGGACATATTCTGTTGAAGCGTTCTTCAAGCATTCCAGAGAGAGGACCCAGGTCCTCCATACTGGTGCATTCTTTAATGCGGACCATGTTCTACGTATTATGAAGGAGCAGGATGGTCTGTTAATCAAGAATAAGGCACCAAATTAGGGATGCTTCATCAGAAGAGGGGCTCAGAAGGTCCCTGTTAGGAAAAGTTTCGGGAAAATTCACCTCGGATTCTGACCCAGAGGGAAACTCATGGTACACCTCCACAAAAAAACTGGGGGGATTGTCAATGAATGAAGCTGTTTTTCGAATACATTTGGCCAGTCGAAAAGTAACCAAATGGTGGATGACTTCGTGACAGCCATTCTAGCCCTGCCTGCCACGGCCTTTCCCCACGCTGGATATACCCACTAACGGTCAAACATGGGAAACATGCATGAGTTCACCTGTAAATTGGCGAAATAGTTGGCGGTGTCGTCGTAACCGGTTGGTGGAGCATTCGGTGAGAGATCGGGTGGTGAATCCATTATGGTAATGACTTTGATGTTTTTACCAGAACCAGTCTACAATTATAACACATTCTATAATTCATAGAGGGGACGAATATCCGACGAAAAATCAATAAATACACACAGCAATCGATAAAAATAAAAACAAAGCGAAAGCAAAGGAGAACGCGGCGATTTCACAGAGATATATAGGAGAGGTGACTTTCCGCTTGTGTTTACTTGACGTGCATTACACATATCATCCACAGGGCGTGTGTGTGTCAGTCAGTTGCCGATGGAATTCAGCGTTTTTTCACGCTGAACAATCAAAGACTGAAATTTGCTACAAGAATGAATATTAACATTTAAATCAATGTCGATTTCCAGAGAAAACTTCCAGGGCGGGCTCACCCACAACCCCGGCAGTTCTGTCAAGAGGGAACCCACCGTATGACTGAGTAACTGATGGAAGGATTATTTGCACTGGGTAAGACTGATCCCGCAGACTACTTACCCGCTTTATCCCACAACACCTGCACCTCCCCAATCACCTTTCCCACAAAATCACATATTAATCGATCATATTCAGAGTTCAACCTGATTTTCTATTCTTGAAATTAAATCAGAGGGTAAAACCAAAAGAAGACTGAAAAATTTGATGAACTAGCCTATGATAACCCCTTCAAAAATCCTAGTAGCAAACGGAAGGGACGGAAAGGGAACAACTAGTTTTCCTTTCTGTTAATGCCAGCCCTGCCTCTGGGATTCGCACTCACATTCGACTTCCACTCATCAAGAAGTAGCGTTTGGATGGGTATGTACTTTACAAAGATTTGTACAAATCAGCTCTTTGACTCTCCCAGACAAGTCTGTATCCAGTTAACTGAGGACGACGGCATAGATAGCTTGATTGTCCTAGACGAGAGTCGGTCCTGAATTCGATGCTCGGGTCACGCGTGTGTTATTGTGCCACTTGTCATTGCAAACCTCAGCCCTTGTACAAATTATAGAGAGGAATACAAAGCTACAGATATAAATGAAATAGCGGCCATCAAAAAAATGAAGGCTAGGTTCCCTTTAGCAGGTTCAATTGAACGCCTATCATGTTTTGTCGCTTATGGATTCCACCTTAAAACATAGCAGCCAAAATTTTAAAGGCACAGTTCACGATAAAAATGGTTTCTAAGATCCCCCTCAGAATGAATTTGAGGCCCCCGCGTATACCATATCTGACACTATTGGGTCGGAAAGGGAGTTATAAAGGCTGAAAGATTGGCCCGTGTGTATCCACGGACGAGTTTCACAGGCATTGTAAAAGCTGCACCGATCACAAGGGAACCCCATGTAGGAATGTCGTGACCCATAGCGACAGTGAAAGACAGTTCTGTACAGTTCTGGCTTGATGTAGTCAGCTCTTTGCGCAATTGCAATGACTGAAATCTCGTCCAAATACCCCTTCCATATTATTTCAGTCATGGCAATCTCGTCCAACCTCTATTTTCTCTACCTTTGAGGAACCATATTTTTCTCGAAATCGGCGAATCCTCTCGCTTTTTTCACTACCGATTAGCTATTCCCAATCCATACTTCCGCTTTTCGAATAAAAACGGGTACCTCAAAATTATCGTGAAATGTGCCTTTGAGCATTTCTAGTAGTTGATTTATGGTTCTGTTATCAAAAAACAAAAAAAAGGAAGAACGGGGCTGATGGGAACATGTCTTCCCTTCGAAAAATGAAATAATAGGGTTCGAAAGCTTCTGTTTTGATGCAGACGTGAAAATCCTCGAAAATCAGAAAATCCGTTCGAAGCTAAGAAAGAAGGATAAAAGGTGGTACGGCGTGGTACGTATGACACGAAATTCGCAAATGGATCTAATGCACATAAGAGTACAAACATTCTCAAGGCTCCTCCGAACTGAAGATCGATGAAATCTTGATTATAAGTTATTGGAGCATAACAGCAGGTAAAGGTTAGATCTGGTTCTGTCCACCCCTGAAATCAATCTACTTCAAAATATTGGGGGCCATGGACATGAGTGGGATATCAGCGTTTCAGAGGATTGAATCTCAAACGACAGGATAATTACTTTGAATAACTAAGAAATTGCCCAGAATTCGTTTTCACATCACAAGGCGTGTCTTCAACATCTGCACTCCTGGTGGTTCCCGTGGGCGCCTCCTAAGTGCCCCTCTGAAAGGCTAATGATTTACGGAGCTTTCCAGAGGACCAAATGCTCCTTGAAATTACAATTGTTCCCAGGCTGTATTTTGGACTAAAAATTAGTAGATAGGGAAGATCTATCTTCACTTTTTGCCTTTCCTCAAGGTGTCGTTCATAAATCAGCCATCGGTGTAACAGCCATCGTCCAATTAATCACCGATTTCGTCGTTCGAGCGTCGCCATCATCTCCGTACACCTTTTTCACGAGTAAATCAAGCACCGTGGCCCTTTGTCCCCAGAGAGACCACAGACTTATGAAATTTAGTATCGGAAAGATGGGTATGCACTCCTACTTCTTCACTACTCCCTGGATGCTCTTGCACGCCCTCCATGTAGCTCCCTACCGAATGCTCGCATTTGAAGCTGAGCCGTTCGTCATAATGGCTCCCTGACTTAAATACCCAGGCGTATTCACATTAGTTTATTCCTTTGGGCGAACAGAATCAGAGAGATTCAGAACAATTCCGGAACTCATGAACATCGAATTCTCCAAAATTAATTGCAGAATGGTCTTCCCATTAGGGCCAAAAAATCCGAAACATGGCACTAGGGTAAACCATTCTGCAGTCAATTCCGAGGAAGTTGAATTGCCAACAGCACTCGCCTGCATCTTTGAAAGCAAATTTTATAAAAACGATGGTTCCAGCCAGAGCATGCAGCGGTGCTAGGGTATTGGGGTATTGACCATTAATTCCAGGTTTTCTTTCTCAAGTGATGCGTTCTTCGGAAGTACTGCTACAGCTTGAGAAGGACAGCGTACCCTTCCCGACTTGGGTCTCCAGGTCGACGATGAAGCTTTCGAGATCTGCCTTTACTGCGTCGAACCTTCCCTCCAATCGGTCAAAGTGCGTGGAATCTTACATTCTCGTGAGTTTTTACTAACAATAATCGGAAATGAGAGGTAAGCAACCGCCCAAGTATAAGATTCATTAGGTGAAAAAAGGATACTCTGAAAATATTATATAAAAATCGTTGTGTGAACTAGTAAATCGCATACAAATTTTCTTGATCAATTCGCTCCTATTTCTCCTACCGAGACTTAAAAAAATCGTACAGCGTCGGTGAGATCTTCCACTAGACGTAAAAGGACCCTCTCTCATCCTCCATTCCCTCCGCTCACCTCACCCGGTCGCCGGGGTAGATCTTATATTCGAATGGGACACTGTGATGTACCGTTTCCGCAAAAAATCTCCTCCTTATGCACAAAAACAGCCTAGTTAGTAGAATATGATTTTTGATTCCCAGAGACAAATGATTTTTCTTGCTTGGGGTTGATCTCTGGTGTGTAATACTCTGAATCTTAATCTTCGATGTCGTTCACACGGGAACATTATGAATGATTCAGTCGAGAGAAAAAAAAGATAATTAATCAGAATGAATAATGGTTAGTCAAGCGATAGTGTTAGGATCACCGTGAGATACTAAGCGTTCCGAGTACGGTAAGATTTCTAACCCAAAGTTTCTCCTGCAAATCATTCCCAAATCGTTCACTGCCAATCAACAGCCCCTGTTCCCCATATTTCCTGTTATGTCAATCAGAGGTCACTGATGCTCTCAGTTCATTCCCATTGTCAGAGTTCAACAGACAACTGGGTATTTTAGAGACTCGTTCTCTGCTGGACAACTGAAATCACTTATTTAAAGCTTCAAGGGGAATCTTCGGAGGTCAGAAGTTGCTGGTGTTCCCCAGTACCCCATAGCCGGCTGGAAAAAATAACACGTTCGCAAGCGCTGTGGATTTTGCCACCAACACCCGAATGATGGGATTTGATCAAGTCTTAAGCTGTTCACAAATCGATACTGTTTGAAATTCTGCTCTGTCCCAGATCAGGAGGGAGTTTATTTGAGAAAAATTCGATTACAAAACTGTACCTTGTAGCGCTAGCACTAGTGGACCTGGTCTGACTTCCAAGAAGTCAATTAGCAACAAGAAGGGTACCACGGATTCGAAAGTCAGACATCATAGATCGAGCTCGAGGATAGAGCGACAGAACACCTTACATTTGTTTGGGTGACGGGCAATTGGACAGACCGCGATCAGTGGTTCACTATACTTCAGCTTTTCCCACTTGCTAGCAACGCTATTTCATACAGTCGGATTGAAAATGATCCCTAATCGTTGTCGGTCGATATGTTTGACATTTTTACCGACATAAGGGAAAAGAACAGGAACTAAAAGCACATTCTGACCAAGTCGTCAATATGAGAAGAAAAGAATTAAACTGGAACTTGCAAATGGATGGCCCCTATTGACAAATGGCATTGAAACGTTCTGGGAATGTGAACTCTGGGAATGAATGGCAATCTTTTTCATATGCCTATTCAATTAGAGTCCCAACTCAAGAAGTCAACCCCAATCGATCCAATTGCACCATCCCCCGTAGGAATTCCGAAATAAATGCGAGGAAGCCCGAGAATCTCTAACGGCAATAGTTGGTGTACTGAACAAATTTTAAGCTTGGAAAATATCGACTACGGAAGTTCTAAGCCCATTACAGCGATATAAATCATACTTCGAAATTTGAATGCACCACCACCCGCAGAGGTGTCACGTCGAGGAGCGAAATTTTCGCGTTGGCCGAAGCGGCACTTTTGCGCAGAGATTAAGTCATGGAAAATGGGTAAATCCGCTTGGCACTTGCAAAACGTTCAGTCCTTTGCCTGAGGGGACAAATATCCGACACTACCACATCATGTTAATAATGAAAAGAAGACCAAAATTTGATCGAGCAAAGAAAAGATAGCGGTGCTCAGGTATACGATGTAACGATCAATGTAAGCCGATCTAGAAAGTCAAGTAGAAGAAGTCAATCAGATCAATCTGGAAAGAAATGCGTGGGGCCTTTTTTAGATACATAGAGGCATTTGAAGAATCGTATGAATGGGGCAGCCAGCCCCAATTCAAGGGACACAATGAGTTCATATCAAATTTTTTTTCACTAAGACGAGTTCAAAGGAATGACACTTCACTCGGGAATGATGGGTTATGTGGAAATTAGATCCGCAATTCGATAAACACACACACTACAGCCTGCCTAAGCCAGAAGGATACCTGTAAAGGCCACCTAATCCACTAAAATACCATCACTTCACAGCATTTCAATCATGATCCTGTCTGAGTACTGATTTAATCGGCCGAAAGGGGATCAAAATGAGTTCGGGGAACGAGATGGAAATGACCGGAGCTCGAGCAGTACCGGTAAAATCATTGGACCTCCAGTTCCCGAAGAGCGATCACGTCCCAATGAGGTCAGATGACCGTGCTAGCGAATATGTAGGGGGAGTAGATGGACGAGAAACCTGAGGAGAAACTTGGGATCATCTCACCGTACCCAGTAATCTGATGCTTCAAGTTGAAAGCAGAAGAAAAAACCACCCACAGCAAAGCCAAGGATGCCTCGCTTGATGTTTTCAACGGCGAGTTTGAATTTCTTTCTGGTATTGACGCTATTGATTGACGAGAACGACTCAGAACGTGCTGGACTGAGCTTGACAACTGCAAAGCTAAGCTATTCCCATTAACATCTATATGTAGTGATCAATAACTCAGCATGCAACATTTTAAATAATTTTATTAATAATAAATATTAAAGCAACGAGATGGTGAATATTAGTATTTAATATGGGCTAAATTATTTATATAATAATGAGTCGCTCAACCAAAAAAGGACAGTAGAATAGATATCCCAAATCGGAGAAAAGGGGTATACAAAAAATCCGGCGATTAAAAGGAATTGTTCCGAATGAAATCCATTGTCAAATCTAAGTCAGAAGCGAAGGAGCATTACACCCCAAAAAAAAGTCGGAACAAAAGTCTTCTTGGAACATTTCGTCTATTCCCTGGAGTACGCCATGCACTTGATTTCTGTCGAATAACGTAGCGGATAATCAATGAACGATGACCACCTAAAATATCGGCCAACGCCGATGCGGTGGCTACACGCCGTCCTATACTATTCAACCGCTTCTGGGATTCCAATTTTGTGGAGAAACCCACAAACCGAAACCAGGTTTTTACTGAATCTATAAATATTGAGAACGAACTCCCACACCGTACGACCCAGATGCATCACGGATGCTTTTCCTATACTGAAATTTAACACTTCAGCATAAAATTCTGTGAAATACATAGCTATGCTAAGCATTATGACATATTAAAATCGCTAGGCCATCCAGAAATGGCTAATTGGCAAGGACAAGTAGAAACTAGCCGATTAGGACTTTTGGAAGGGATTCTGATGGGCTTGAGAGTCTCTCTTTCTTCAAGTTCCCACGCGGAATACCACATTCAAAACAATCTTATATGAACATTGTATATTAAGCGATAGGATCACAACAGATTAACCAAAGGAGGAAGCCCCGAAGCAGACGGACGGATAAAAACACTTTCATGGAAATTAGACAAAAGCCCCGANAGATTTCGAGCCATCAGAGTTGAAAATTACTTCCATGAATTTGAAGTTGATTTCATGGAACACGAAGAAAAATCGAAGGAACATTATTTTCCACTTAAATAGTTTCGTTCTGAGGGACAGGAGAAGGTGAAGTTTAAACGCTCCTGGGTAAGTAATGCACTAAGCATTCAACTTGTATTGTAAAGGCGAAGGCGTTGAAATTTACATCTGGTAAATAAAATGATGTATAGGTAAACCATAGTCCAAGTGCAGCCCTTGTCCTCCTACGCAGGCCTGAAATCAATTTGTGGGCTTCAGAAAAATTGACGGACAGGGACTGGTCTAAGCAGTATTCAAGTGACAGAAGGGGAACAAGGATTAGATTGCCTCGTCTCTCTACTCGTTTTATCCCCAGCAATCACGTCATTGCAAAGAAAGATAGTTCTCTGAGTAGCAGGCAAACATGATTTCGAGCTTGAACTATGGCACAGCGATGACGTGTGGCTTATTTTTAGTAGGACCGAGGAGAGACTTCAACCCTCCTACGTCTTACATAGTCAAAGGCGGATGATAGCGCTTTGTTAAAAGGTAGCAGTGCTAGCACTGAGCAAAGGGTATGTTTACACAAATACTTTGAGGTTTTTGGAATACGGTGATGCATTCTTTGCTGAAAAACGCAAAAGAATAAAAAAGTGGCTCAAATAAGTCTCAAAAAGGAAGGCCCCGCTTGCGATGGAACATTATTTTGTAATAGCTTACCCTTTCGACCAAGCCCCTTCATCGGAAATCTGTTCGTCATTCAGTCAACAAAGATTACATTCGAAAGAGCCAGGCCATTCTTCTTTTCCAAAAAATTCTACCAGTTCCCTTCAATACAAAGATCCAACGAATAGACAAAATTCTAACGATTAGCTATTGGAATAGCTGGGAAATTTCAACGGGGAAACCACCCTTCACCTCATCGCCCACGTGGTGAAAACGCGTCAATTTCCCCTATTCAAGAGAGGCTTAACTGACCTTATTAAGGGTTGTCAGGTGTTTTTCAACAAAAAACTCGTCAGAAACACTGAGAATGGAGAATGGCTGGGAAGCGGGCTGGGGATAGTAAGGGGGTGGGAAGTGGGGGTGAAGGGGTGCGGGGGTTTCGAAGGGGCAGAGGGTTGAGGGAAGGGCGATCAGAGTAGGGGCAATGCTCCCCAATTTCGAGCCACCTTCAAACCTCTCGAATAATTCGATTCAGCACTAGGAACATCAATACAAAGATCCAACGAACAGACAAATTAGATACCAACTCAGACAGATCATAACAAAATGTTGACATACAGATATTTTTGGGGTACTGTCCTTTTTATGAATGCCTAACATCGACATAAGTGATATGGAAACTAGTTTTTGACTGTTTTTATTATAGAACCACTAGTTCATTTCAGTGCGAAACTTTCAATATTTCAAAGAGGTACTCTGAAGGAAAGAATTAGCCGATAATTTCGACTAATCTGTACCCTACCATGTGGAAAACAGTTTTATGTGGGAATAACTTTAGGACGCGCTTCAAGGAATACATCAAATTCCAAGGGAGCAGAATTTTTCAGCCATAATAGAATTATGATGAGCACTAACACCAAACGGAGAAAACAGTCAAAAGAAATCGCGTTCTAAGCGCCCTGGAATTCGGGGCATTTATAGGATACATACAAGTCAGTGCTTTCAGTCTCCTAGACGTGTTCGGTACCAATTAAGCGACCTCGAACAGATGAAAGGCTTCGTTGGCGTAGATTGCAAGTATAGAGTAAGTTGCTATGATCCGGCCATCTCCCGAGTGGTTTGGGTTGGAAAAGAGGTACATAGTAAGCGAAAGATCATGTTGAGTTCCAGGTAATGGTGGCTCACCCACTTGCCCACTCGGTCTCTTGAGCCTATTTTCCCTTCCTTCGGCCCGTTTCCCGAGTTCATCGATTGGAAGGTGGACATTTGAATCGAAAGAATCGAAACCATATGGTTCCCACATGCATAATGAAGCATGTATCGGACTGATGTGGATGAAAGGCCTTCTACAGCTCTGCCCCTCCCCACCCGTAGACCATGACCAAGGGCAGCTGAGAGAAGTGAAAACGTCAACTGTGTCCGTCCATCTCATACCACAACAGAAAAAATACGTGCATCAAGATAAATCGCTCTGTGAACGTTTTTGCAAAAACATCGGGCAGAAAATTTGAAGGGCTGCCGACCCTTGTGAATTCTGGGTACATTGGAAGGAGTGTCGAGGGTGAAAAAACGAGGGAACGGTATAAAAAATAGAAAGAAAAAAGGTGGAAAAGAGCATGGGTGTTATGAGAAGAGACGATAAAGCAAGAGTGTAAGTGGAGGAAAAAGAAGAAATGAAAGAACAAAAGAACTGTTTAAAAAAGAGATAACATGCGAAACTTAGAATTAATGCAGGAGTAATCAATAAAATGAATCAATAAATATGAAAGTGAGAAGAGACCAGAAAAGGCATAAGGGAAAAGAAGAGTAGCAGGACTAGAAAGCAGGGGAATTGAATGTGAACAGATGGAAATTAAACCCAAAACGAAAAGAAAAACCACCGAAAGCAGCGGAACAGCTGCGAAATTGTTAAAATGCATAAATTTGTGATGCACAAATTTTAAAATTTCCCAAAAACGATAATGGATTTCCGTTCATAAAAATGGGGCTTTGACACTTGATTTCAAACTTGTATGAGTAAGTAAAAATATCGGTCTTAGTGAATCCCGTTACAAGCCGAAGAAAGTAAGGGCCAATAAGGATTTTAGTGATTTCTATGATAAGTCTAATTTCTTCACCAAAGAGTAAACCAAAAAAATGAAGAAATGAACTCAAGAAGAAACACAAAGAGATGGGAAGAGAGGGGCGATGTTCAAAAGGTCCTTCAGTGCTCTCGATTTGCGAAAAACACTCGAAAACTTGTATGACGACGGAAAAATACTAGGAAATTCGATGAAGGACGAATCAATAGCGCTCATTGAAAGAAACATTCAACGGAATCAGCTCAAAAACATCGTACATATGGTGGTTGTGGTGCATGCTATAACAACAACAGTTCATGCTCTTTGTATTGATTGACTCGCTGTTGTTAGTGGTTCCGATAAACAGAAGTGAAATCACGATACATGAATGTTGATTAATGATGGGCCACTTCAAGATCCACCAAACAGTCGACTATTATCCCAAAGCTTAGCGGGATAGAATTCTATTATGCACTCATAAAGGTCGTTGGAAATCGCNTGGGAAATCTAACTGGTTTTCACACCCTAATTTTGCCTTTGAGCAGCTATGCAACAGGATAAACAGCGGGGAAGGTGGCTCGCGCAGGTGCAACGCACCACCTATGACCACCATATGGCTAGCGACCGAGACCAGTAATTGTCGCTTTTGCACTTACCAATTCATTTACCCCGCTTATGCGTAACTACTTCAAAAGTTACAGGTTAAAGTAAATGATAAAGTTTTTGGCGTTAATCAATCTCGTCCGAGTGATGCGCCCCGCACTCGGCATTCATTCAGAATCGTAGCGACGTAATGAATATAATGTGGCTTACACAATGACTTGCAGTGCCCAGCCGATGTACAAGTAAGTGCTTTTATCCTCCCAGACGAGTCTGATACCACTTAACCAACCCAAGAAGGATGGAAAGTTTGGTTGGCCTAGGCGGATATCGATCCGGGATTTGAACCCCTGACATGCGTGTGAGATAGTGCGCCGCGTTCCACTACACCACCACCGCCCACTACTTCTCCGATCCTTCAAAAGTGTGTTTTTTTAACCAAGATGCAAGCAAAGTCGGGATAAAAATCGACAAAAAGTACAGAGGAGAGATCAGTTCACCTGACCACGTGTTCACCACCAGCCTGTCGGAGTGAAAGCAAAGGGCAAAGAGAAACTGAGCATGTGGTCAGTCAAAACAATCGGCCAAGGCAATATTGAAAACGGGTTTTCATTGACCTGAGGGCATTCACAAGTCAAAGTTGTCAATAAAAAAAGGTGAGAAGCTGCTGCACAAAGTGTTTTGATATGGGAACATGGGTTTCCTTCGCTTCCACCCATCTCGCTCTTGTTATAAAAGTTTATAGTTCCAATTAAGGAGAGGTGAAAACAATTGGTTAAAGATTGTGTGCCCAGAAATTTGGACGGAACAGATTTCGCTGATTTCGAGTTTTACAGTACGGTAACCAGACATAGAAGGAACATGTACGTAGAGAGAAGGTTGCGTTGACCGAAACTGTGTGGTGCCGTACTCATGTACCTCAGCACAGAATTACAACTTCCACCAACTTCTGGATCTGACTGGTGTAACTTGCGTATGAATAACACATTGAGCAGATGGTTACTAGAAATATGCCTCAGATTGACGAATGAATGAAGTTTTTGGAAACAAGTACAACGAGAGCTACGATATTGATTTGACGGAATGAACGGAACATCTCGATGGCTCTGGCGTAAAACAAGCTCTCTTTCACAGATTCCGTGTCAAGCTCAGCGGTTTGGCCTGTTTTCCAGGTTCGAGGATGGCTATTGGAAGCTCTTCCTTCCTTCTTCCTAAAACGATTATGGACTATTCCCCTTCCCAACGAAAATCTATCTGTTTTGAGGTGGATTGTCCACAGGATTAGTGTTTAAATGAGGGAGCCCATTGCACTACAGACAGCACCATCAACTGCGCAAATTAACCCTTCAGCCACTTGAGCATCCTCTCCACCCCACTACAATGGCAAAAACAGTCTACAGTACACTTCGAATCCAAGGAAAACACTGCAGAAAAAAAAANAAGCTTTCATAGGTAGAGTGGAACAAAATTTATGGCAAATTATGTTCTGAACTATTTCTTTCTGCTGCTTGAGCACCTAATGGATCCTTCAAAGAAGAATGATTTCAAAAAAAAAGGCAGTGACATTGGAAGCTTTATATATTCACTACATTTTTACTGGTAAAAGTACAAAATAAGAAAGTAGGTTGATCTTTGTGACAATGCTTAGTTAACGGAGGAATAAGTTTTGTTTGGAATAATTAATAACTCACGATGTCCAGCTTTCAACTGGTTTATGGTGTGTTCGCTAATTTCGCTCACCCACGCCCAGTGTACATCTTCGATGTTCCGTCGCCCACTGCGAAATCGCTGACGAAGATGAGCCCGGTTGCGACGAAATCGTCGCTGAGACTCTGGCGATCTCATTGACGTCTTCCAGTCGCGGTGACGTTAGACAGACAACGTGAGCTTGCGGAATCGTCGAAGTCAACGAACAGATGACTGGGAGCGGCAGGGACGAGATGTGAGCCGGCTAGAGCAGCTTGTTATGCGTTTGCTGGTGTGTGCGTTTGAGCCATAGCGATTTTGATCGGCGGCCGTGTGGGAGGTGAACGAGAGTGGTTAACACCATGCCCTTCTGACCCAAGCGCTGTAGGGGACAAAAACTCATCGTACTCAGTAATCAAGTGAGGATCAGTCATGTCGAGGAGGAACATTTCCATGCGATTCAGCTAAAGACAGAGTAACTCAAGAGTTGTACAAAATCTCAGAGAACGAGTGGCTATGAGACGAAGTGGGGACTAGGATGATGTTCATCTCAGCGACATGCCACGACTTCATCTTCGAAACGATTATTTCTTCCTCAGAGAATCGTGGAAGAAGATGAGCTTAAAAGAGAAGATCATCTATTCTGGCAACCATACAATCGCTCTACAAAATAAGCATACCCCAGTTTGCCCAATAGTTTTCACTGTAATTCGGAGTAGAGAGTGACATGAAGTTTCACAAATCAGGAAGAATGTGGTCCAAATACAAGGCACTAGGGGTTGATGGTCCGAAGACCTTCAGGGCGAAATACTGGGAAATGCATGATACATCAAAGGTGCTCCTTCCAGAAAAACCCTTAGGAACCTAGTTTATTGTAAGGGTGGTGAACGCCTTGCCCTAACTACCTTCTCAAATGAGTGGGAAAAACCTCAGCATAATCATCAAAGTTTGGTATATCTACAGGAATGCATTTGATGGATATCATTTACAATTTGCTGGATCTTTTGCTTTGACGAATTACAGCAATTCACAAGCAGAAAATAGAGCCGTTGAACAGCTGATGCACATTCGATACTGCATACGAATAACCTCGTGACAAACGAAATTGTAGTTTTGAAGGCAAGCGAACAAGTGAAAAGAGTTTTTTCAAATTCAAGATCAAGTTTCTTGAGATTTCTCAATCACTGCAACCTGCTCTGTACTCTCTTTATGATTACAGTATAGTATGCTAAGCTACAGGGTCCCAGTTTTAAGGATCTCCTCACTGAAATTCGATTTCAATTCTGTGGGCTGTTGGATTTACTAAACACTTTCCATTGGGATCAGATTCAGACTTCGGTTATCGCCTACTACCAGTATCGCCTACTACCAAAGTTCGTGAGCCCCCTTGGACAAGCAAATTCTGAAATCCTCAAGTAGGCTGTATAGGATAAAGGATAAAGTTCTAAGCGTCAATCGAGCTTACTTACCGGGATGCGCTCCCCACATTCGAGTTCAATTCAGAACATTGGTGACGCTTGAAGCGTACATGGCTCATCCAGTGGATTGAGGTGGACTAGCCGACATACACGTGAGCACGTTTTTCGTCCCAGACGAGTCTGGTACCAATTACGGCCTGGAGGGATGAAAGGATAAGCTGGCTCGGTCTGGTATCGATCAAGGATTTCATCCTTGGCCTATGCATGTGTGACAGAGCTCTTTACAGCTACTTTCCCTCTGAAGAAAAGGATGTTCCTTTCTGTTATTTATGTAACTAATAGTTGCAAAGCCGCCTACACATGCAGTCTGGAACAGACCGAATCAGAGTAGTCACTGATGCTAGCATTCTGCAAACCCTCGAGACAGACGAACGAAATGAGCACGAGCAGGCAGGCATAGTGAACGGCGTAGAGAAAGAGAGAAGTGATACGAGAGAGAAGAATAAAAATTAACGGCAACCATGAAATCCTAGACATTCCGCAGTGGCGTCGTTCAGACGTCAGCTACTTGACAAAGTACTACCAGTCGACCGAAATATCGGGTATAGGAAGAGCAGTAACGGAAAGGATGGGCTTTGGATAAAGTCATCGGGAAGAGCTCCTACTGAAATAAACTTGCATCTCCAACGAGAAGATGGAATAATTTCGCAATTAAGCAATGATATCGGTCATAATAAAGAGAACACCACTGGACAACGAGTCCACAATTCGAAAAACAATTGAAACACCTGACGGGGGAGCACGTGTGTGTGTGGCGGCGATCAATGATTGAAAAATACTGCGCTCTGGCAGGGCAAACACGCTTGACATCAACTGGGTCGAGGCGCGAACCTGCTGACCTTCCGGTTGCTCACCGTTACTTGAGTAGCTTACCCTCTGAATAACCCAAAGCCAATGAACACTCCACCGGTTCTACCCCACAGAACTTCATATCATGGTCAAGATTGAGTGGCCAATCGCTGATTGAATACCAAGTGACCCAAAGATTTCCCCAACTTGTGAAACTGCAAGAATTACCCCCTAAGAAAGGCACCTCAACAGGAACGAAAATTCAGTATTGGTATTCAATTCCTACAGTAACTTTATTGTAGAAAAAACGCAGAATTTTACAGACAACATCTTTTTTTTATGGCATTCTTTTCACCTGAGAACCGGACACCCGCATTGAATTTTGTTTCTGTAACGAAGACTCCAAAGGACTGCCTGAAAGAATTGAATTTTCAAATTAGGGTGATCTCAAAACATATATCAAAAAAGATGTTCCGAAGAATTGAAAATTGTGAACGGATTTGTTGGAGAGTCTCGGATAAGATAGGAAATTTTTCGTCTAAAGGAATGAGCGAAAACGGTAAACCCTCGACGAGCAGTTTCCCTCTCGACTCCACCCCCACTCGAACTTCGTCAATGCCATTCGCAACACAATCAATAAATCACGATTTTGGTGAACCTTTCAGCGTTGAAGGTTGCAAAATGTAACTTCACTGAATTCGTTAAACTGGAAGGAGTAGGCCTGGAGCGACCTAAATTATAAACGAGTTTTACTGTCCCTTTTTGGGTGCTACATCGGGATTCCATAGTGGACAACAAGAGAGCTCTTTTTGCTGAAATTCGGCTTTATACATTAAGTAAAAAACAATAGCCATGTTCCAGGCAATTTTCTCGTACCTCGATATGAGCAGCTAGTTTTTTTTTATCTTTGGGAGAATATGAAACAATCCAAAATCATACTCGGAATTGCGATTTTTCCTTTGAAGATTTTCTCATAAATGAGTTCTGTCGCTACATTTCTCGGAATTCAATTCGGGTACGGTTATTTAACTCAATCTGTGCTTATTCAATCTTTGAAGATTGTAGTCCGTTCACATAGAACGCTCCATTCCTATCTTTCCTTTCAACGCCAAAAGTACCTTTTGGCATTTCCCTAATCTCTGAACTTGATTATCTTTCCACGCACGAACGAAGAAAAATCATTAACTAGGCGGAACTGTTCAAAGCAGCCCACAAACGGACATCATAACTGACATACATTTCGAACCATATACATAGAGCGATGAAGCTTATATAGATGTTAGAAACCATAAAGTCAAAGTGTCATCGTCATCTGCCCCTCGGACGAGAGGGTGCGTGGATGACGTGAGGTGGGATCAAATATAAGCTCTACAGAGACAAATACATGGGTGAGGCCGGGCAACCTTACTATGAATTAAGGAACACCTGGATGGCTCGGAATGTTCAAGACGTTTGACTCCACTAGTGGTCATCAGAGGGCGATGCTGCGAATGTGTAGACCTTTATGAATCAGTGACAGTCTTGATGCCGGAGCCCATAGCCTCAGCGCGAAAAACTTTAAAAGCATTCAGGATCAATGTAAAAATAGGCAAAATGAATAGATAAGATGAGAGCTCGGCACTAGCAAAAAACTCGTCCCATCCTTTGACCTGTGTAAGCCTCTGTTGCTACCGACAAGGAGTTAAGTCATTCAGAAGCCAATGATTTAAATAGACAGTTCGAAAAACGATGTTAAGGCTTCCTCTTGTAAATCTAAGATAGGTCACCTGTTGTAATTTACAAGATCCCGGCATAGGTATTTACAGCATATACATAAACTGAGCTGAGTTTCGAGGTGTCATTTGCTGAGAATGAATCTTGAATATTTTCGGGTTTCAGGCTCTGGCATTCCGAATAAAGTTGGAGTTTCTTTGAAAAGCCTACACAATAGCACCTTAGACAACGATATATTATTTCAGGATCCATATCGAGTTGAAGTGGTCCATTGCAAGATATAAATCAACTTATATATGTTCCGACCCACCATTCAGAAATTATACGTTAAGGTGAACTGTTTCCGATAAAAGTTCATTAAGATCCGTACAGATTTTCAATTTCGTTGCATCCTTTTTCATCTGTACAGGTCGTATCACTGTGGGTTTATTTTCTTTTCCCTAAATCATAAATATACATTAGTATTTAATAGTTAGTTAGCAGTAGAGATTTCTTTAGCTTTTGTATTTACGAGCTCTATAGCTCCACCAACAGCAATCGATTAACTTAATCAATATATTTTGTTGTGGACAAAGTGATATCTTTCCTTTATCCCCTAAAATCGTTAGCTTAAATGAAGAAAGATCAAGAGAGGCACATGAAGCTACACGAATAGAAGTAAATGGGCGCAATCAATGGATGGTGTGGTCGTTATCCGGGATTTGGAAGACGCTTATGGTGGCCGGGTTCATTCTGATTCTCGAGGATCGGATTATATTTCATTAGCGGTCCTACGTAAATGGACCCAAAATCGGTAATTAGTAAATTATTTGTTAGCACATTCTTTAATGCATTTGGAAGAGATTTCTTTGAAAGTTGGTGTAGCGGAAGAAGCTACTAAAAAAGTGACTGGATGCTAACAGGACGACATCAAGCCACAAAAGTCAGGTCTAGGAATGGCGGAAATCAGACGTTCTGCTCGGCCATGATGCCGTTCCCAGTGATACCTTCGAAAGAAGATAGAGTACAGATCTTTTTGACGTTAATTATGGTTCAGGGATGCGCCTCGCACTCGATATCCATTAAGAAAAGCGCGCCGATTTTCGCGTTCGCTTCACCTCTTTTGCGCTATTCTTGACTAATACCTTCATTATTCGTCTTAAATTGGATACCCCAAAATTACCGTGAACCGATCTTTAA